CACACATTAACGAACTATAAGATAACAATAGCCATTTTCCAAAAACTCTCTGAGCTGACCGCACTAACCTGCGGAAAAAAAAGTGATTCCGATGTCATTTTAAATTATATTGGTCCGAGTAATAAACGAGACAAACTCTTATTTAGTTATCTATGTCATGACATTCTCCTATTTAACAAAATATTCACAGATTAACAATGAATTGACGAAAAGTCGACCTTCCCTATCTATATTTTTGATATTTTATACCAGAAAAGCTCAACAGAAAGTGCTAGTAAACTTTTTTTTCGCTTAACCATTTGGTTGAGATTAGATGGTTTACCAGGCGTGGCTACAGCAGCTAATAATGGCAAGTTTTATATATATTTTAAAATGTAGTCCTCCTATTGCTTCCATATTACTTCTGGGGTTTTATTTCTTACTAGTTAAATGAGAGAAACAAATGAAAAGCACACGAAGCTTGAAGACAGGCTCACGTTGCAGAAAAAGGTTCAACCATATCGAGTGCACCGCAGTCGATTTTATTTCAAATATAATGAATGACATAACAGGCGTGTAAGCAATTTAAATTCTTTTGTTGTTTATCGGAATTTTCCCCTCTTATATTATTTCAATGATTTTGAAGAGAATTATGATCCAAATATTATATCTTTTATTTGTAAAAATGAATTTATATAGTTAAAATATCTAAATTCATCGCCATGTAATATTCGGAGATAAAAAAAAATCGGTCAGACGTATTCACCTACTATTCATGGAAAAAATGTATTCATAATTTCCCCGTATGACGAAGGTCCCCTTCTTTCCTTCCTTGTTCACTGACATTGACCTTGACTCAGCGGGTGCTTAATGTATAAGTATTGTATTCAATCAATTTTACTTTTGAGACCTAAACTAAAACTGTTCATAAATACATTGGAAAGATACAAATTTAATTTGTATGTTGATGTTATATATACATGTAGTAAAAATACCTTTAATAATAACTCTCCCTTGTTTTCAATCAAAATTTATATAAAACAATGACAAACTATCTAAAAACTTATTTAACAAACATATGATTAAATCTAGCACCTCATTTGTCTAATTTCAAGAGACTACTTCGGTTTCAGTAAAAAAAACCCGATCACTACAAATATATAGTGCGAATCGGACACACGATTGATTTCTTTAACCTGCGGTAACGGGTTTCTTTTTTCTGTTTCTTATATTAGCGAAATTTTGCATTATATTCCTATACAGGCATAAATATCTGATTTTTTTAAACAAGAAACTTGCAAATCAACGCCGACACCTGAAAATAAAAAAAAAACTGTTGTAGCCCCCTAGTTCATGAAGCAAGTTCTCGATTTGCACTTTGTACACAGGGTGAGGTTTTAAGGTTGTTAATCAAGTTCTTTATTTGCTATTTTGCCCAAGGAACAATATGTGGCAGAAAGATCAGAAAGATCAGCTGTCCAGTATACGATCTGATTCATGTTACAGAAAGATCAGCTGTCCATTACAAGATCTGATTCATGTTACAGAAAGACCAGCTGTCCAGTATAAGATATGATTCATGTTACAGAAAGATCAGCTGTCCAGTACAAGGACTGATTCATGTTACAGAAAGATTATCTGTCCAGTATAAGAATTGATTCATGTTACAGAAAGATCCAATGTCCAGTACAAGATCTGATTCGTGTTACAGAAAGATCAGCTGTCCAGTGCAAGACCTGATTCGTGTTACAGAAAGACCATCTGTCCAGTACAAGATCTGATTCGTGTTACAGAAAGACCATCTTCCAGTACAAGATTTGATTCATGTTACAGAAAGACCATCTGTCCAGTATAAGATCTGATTTATGTTACAGAAAGATCAGCTGTCCAGTACAACGACTGATTCATGCTACAGAACGAATATCTGTCCAGTATAAGATCTGATTTATGTTACAGAAAGACCATCTGTCCAGTATAAGATCTGATTCATGTTACAGAAAGACCATCTGTCCAGTATAAGATCTGATTCATATTACAGAAAGACCATCTGTCCAGTACAAGAACTGATTCATGTTACAGAACGAATATCTGTCCAGTATAAGATCTGATTCATGTTACAAAAAGACCATCTGTCCAGTATAAGACCTGATTCATGTTACAGAAAGATCAGCTGTCATGTATAAGATCTGATTCATGTTACAGAAAGACCATCTGTCCAGTATAAGATCTGATTTATGTTACAGAAAGATCATCTGTCCAGTATAAGATCTGATTCATGTTACAGAAAGACCATCTGTCCAGTATAAGATCTGATTCATGTTACAGAAAGACCATCTGTCCAGTATAAGATCTGATTCATGTTACAGAAAGACCATCTGTCCAGTACAAGAACTGATTCATGTTACAGAAAGACCATCTGTCCAGTATAAGATCTGATTCATGTTACAAAAAGACCATCTGTCCAGTATAAGATCTGATTCATGTTACAGAAAGACCATCTGTCCAGTATAAGATCTGATTCATGTTACAGAAAGACCATCTGTCCAGTACAAGAACTGATTCATGTTACAGAACGACCATCTGTCCAGTATAAGATCTGATGCATGTTACAGAAAGACCATCTATCCAGTATAAGATCTGATTCGTTACAGAAAGACCATCTGTCCAGTATAAGATCTGATTCATATAACAGAAAGACCATCTGTCCAGTACAAGAACTGATTCATGTTACAGAACGAATATCTGTCCAGTATAAGATCTGATTCATGTTACAAAAAGACCATCTGTCCAGTATAAGATCTGATTCATGTTACATAAAGACCATCTGTCCAGTATAAGATCTGATTGATGTCACAGAAAGACCATCTGTCCAGTGTAAGATCTGATTCATGTTACAGAAAGATCAGCTGTTCAGTATAAGGATTGATTCATGTTACAGAAAGATCAGCTGACCAGTATAAGATCTGATTTGTGTTACAGAAAGATCAGCTGTCCAATACAAGATCTGATTTGTGTTACAGAAAGATCAGCTGTCCAGTACAAGACCTGATTCGTGTTACAGAAAGACCATCTGTCCAGTACAAGATCTGATTCATGTAACAGAAAGATCAGCTATCCATTATGAGATCCGATTCATGTTACAGAAAGATCAGCTGTCCAGTACAAGATCTGATTCATGTTACATAAAGATCAGCTGTCCAGTATAAAGTCTGATTCTTGTCACAGAAAGATCAGCTGTCCAGGATAAGGTCTAATTCATGTTACAGAAAGACCAGCTGTGCAGTTTAAGTTCTAAATTATGCTACAGCGAGACCGACTGTCCATTATTATGTCTGGCTAACAATTTCAAATAAAACCAAAAAAAGTGTGGAGCCTCATATACTAGTGATATTCTCCCCTGAAACCTAAGTTGGTAGACACAAAAAGATTCCATATGCATATGGCATTTAACATAAATAAGAAGATGTGGTATGAGTGCCAATGAGACAACTCTCTATCCAAGTCAGTATGTATAAAAAGTTAACAATTATAGGTCAAAGTACGGCCTTCAACACGGAGCTTTGGCTCACACTGAACAGCAAGCTATAAAGGGCCCCAAATTGACTAGTGTAAAACAATTCAAACAGGAAAACCAACAGTCTTAATCTATATAAAAAATGAAAAAAGAGAAACACTTATGAACCACATCAACAAACGACAACCACTGAACAACAGGCTCCTAATGCATATTTTTCTTCGTACTACATCTACATGTAATAAGAAACTTAACATTGAACAATGTAAAATTCAAAAATCATTTAGACATAACTAAAATTTACAGTCACCATCACATATTGGTTGACAAAAATGATAAGTCTCTGTCTTAACTCATCAGTGACATGTTTTTGCTGTATTAAGATCTTTATAGATACCAGAATAGTCTTCTAATAATCTGTAATTCTACTGATAGTGTCCTATTACTAATTGTGACATTTTGACTAAGCGTGTATTTGCATGGTGTGTTAATCAGACGCTTTAATACCCTGCCAATGCTCCCATTCTTGTTCCTTTTTTAGTTGATGCGATTCCCTCAGTTTTTGTTTGCTACCTTCATTTGTTTTATTAATCGATTTATAAAATTTAAACATCAGTTAACTACTGTTGTCTAAATTCATGCAACAAACAGCAAACCATATTTATATATGGTCGATCATAAAAAATTTCTTATAAATGTCACTGAACAGAAAACCTTTTTTTATTTTGAAGTTACTAGAGCATGATTGAACGTAGGGAGGGTCCTACACCGTATATTAATAAGATGTGGATACTATGCAGACAAAACAAAAAAATAACTATATATCATAATTCTGAAAGCAGGGGAATAATAAGATGTCACACATTTTATAAGTGTATAGTTAATAGTCTAGTGCACCAGTGCCTTGAAATAGGTTCTTTTTCAACAATTCCCAAGGGTATCATCAGCTCAGAAGTCAGTACTTCGGTACTGACATGATTTATAACAAACCGTTCTAAATTTGTCTGTTTATAAATTTTGAAATTATAAAGAACTAAGGTTTCAACTCCCTCAGGCAAAGTTGACTTAGATGGATTTGGCTATTTTTTTATGTCCTTTTTTGGTTATGTAGCTCTTCAATTGTTTCGGTTCTCACACATCCTTGGCTTTCAAATATTAGGCAGTGAGCCTTCCTGATGAAGGTAAATCCAGAAAAGTGCTTCAGATGCATCAAATTAATAACGTGTTGTTTTCATTTTTTTCCAACAAATCTTTCTTAAATACAGTTTACAATACATAGCTTCCATTTTTTAAAGTCAGTGGATAATTATTTGTTGCTTATATCAGTCAAGTTATTTCTGTCTTTGAAATGTTACAAACCAAGAGATATCATTAGATAGGTTGGTTTTTGCATGTTTAATGTCCAGTGGCAAATATTACAATTACATTCAGGGAATGATTGTTTTAATAAGTTTACACTTGAAAGTATATTTTGTGCAAAGATGTAAATATTTAACAGAAACAAGGATTTATTAAATATGTTTATTGTAATTACATATGATAACAGTATAAAACTATTGAATAAATTAACAAATACATCAACATATATACTTGCTCATTACCTGCACGACTACAAATAATTAAAATATTCATTTATTGCCTCTCCCCAGTAGACATCATTTTGTATTTGAGTTTTTTTAAGGAATTTTGTTCTTTAGGTAATTATGCAAATTTATGTAAATAAACCATTATACTTATGGCATTGTTTGGCATTTCCTTAAGCATAAGCAATCTAAAATTCGTTGATATTCCATATTTCAAATACTTTTATAAGATTAATATTTTGGCCAACAAAAAGTTTGTATGATAAAATGTGAAAAGTGTTCAGAAACATGGATAAGTCTCTGAGGTCTGTGTTGTCAGATCGTTGTCTAATTGAGGTTGCATCCAAAAATCATTTTATACATGTATAAGTTGACACAGAATGTTTATATTTTTTGTGTATATATTCCATGGACATCTTTCACTATATAATAAGACATTACACAGTTATAGCATTATAAGATTTAAACAGCTATAATAGAATTTAAATGATAAAAAACCTAAAAATTGGAAATTATCTCAACAAAAACAAATATGAGAGTAGCATATCTATCTATCTTTCTTTATATATATAGGAAAAAAGAAAACTATAACTAAGCTAAAAGTATAACCAATGAAAAGAGAACTGCGAAAAGTTTTAAAAAGAACTGAGTTCAATTCACTCATGTGTGTTTTATTAATAGGTTCTGTTTTCAAATTTTGGCCCAAATACACAATGTCTTCTAATCATATAAAATTCTCGCAATGATATTTCTAAATAGAGTTGCTTTTAATGCAATATGCCTTTTATATTTGGTTTCATGTTTGCTCTTGAATTAAATCTTGAATCATTATTTGAAAAAAATCATTTAAATAAGTTCTCCCATCAAAGAAGTAGTTTTTGTTCTAAAAAAAAAGTTTACAAATTATTTTCTTCATATTTTTCCAAGGTAAATTCCAAAAGGGGAAGTCCATAAAAACTGACAAAATCAAACATTATTAATTATTAGAACTAGTGGACTACAACTGTCAAATTACTGACTTGGTAAAAGCATTTCCCGAAGAAAATGATGAGTTAAACCTGGTTTTATAGCTATCTAAACCTCCAACTTGTATGACAGTTGTTTAAAGTTCCAGACTTCATGAAACATTACAATAATAAATACAAAATATGTAAATCAGATATGAAACAAATACCAATAATCCAACCAGTGGTTGATAAAAGGTAGCCCACATTGTGTTTTCCGTATATATTTGACAGAAAGTAAACAAAATACAATAATGATCATAATAATTTAAGATCAGAAATAATTCTGTAAGCAAACAATCTAAACACATTGGTCCAAATTCTTTTTTCATCTTCTGATATATTTTACAAACGGCTAAAGAAACAAATAATGACAGAAGCAAAACAGTGATTCATATTATAAGAGACGGGTTCACTTTAAAGCTATAATATATTGCACAATAATATCAATATTGAGAATCAGTATATTTAATGATCCATCAAATAATTGGATTTCATATTTTGTTCATGACTTTTTGTTCATACTGAAATATATAAATGTTAACAGAGCTTTACATATACATAGTGAAAACTGCCTTCACACATTACCAAAACTGTAAATTCAAAAATGTGTGCAATCATTTATTATTGCCATTATGGGAAATGATTCATACAAACACTGCTATAAAAATTTAAATGCAAGTTTATATTTTTGCAACAGAAGTTTTACAAAATTAAAAACACAAAAATTTCAGAATTTACAGCATATCATAAAAATAAATGCTTGTGTTGCTCAGTCTTCATCTTTTTATGTAATGGTTTGTAGACAGTTGTTTGTCTTTTCGTTATTTTTCATATTTTGGCATGATTTGTTATTCTTCGACTCTTTAATTTTGATTCTTCCCTTGGTATCGAAACGCCCCTTTTTTCTTACAATCAATATTTTCATTATCACAATGTGTACATGACACTTTGCACAATCTTGACTATATGGAATTTGTGAAGACTTTTCATTATCTTTAAATCTTATTCTAAGATACTTACAGCAAAATTTGTTATGCATAAAGACTAACATACTTTGTTTAATTGCATATTAAATTTTCCCCTTATGACATGAATGCTAGAACAAAAAGATTAATGCTAATAAAATCCTTAGTTACAAAAACAATTTTAATAAATTGCAGTTAAATCTCAATATTTAACCTTGATCATATTTCTTTTAGGTGTGCTAGTACTGTAAGCAGTATAAATGCACCTGTAATTGCTGTTTATTTTGAACATAGGTTTGAATTTATATAAAAGAAAAGAAAAGTGACATTTCTCATGAATAAAAGGAGACCGTTTCTCTATATTTGTGCAGCAATAATTTATAAGGTATATCATTTGGCAAATACTCTGCCTTAATAAAACTATATGTAAAACAGTAATTCTTGGACCAAATTGTAAAACTTTACATGAGCTAGTCAAATGTAGGTCATGTTGATGTATTGGAAAATCTTCTGCAGTGAAATATATATCATTCAAAACTTCACCAAGAGTTTCTGAGAAGGCAGCCCAAGTTTGGAGCAATTAAAACATATGACATTTAACCCCCAAATATATGACATAATGTTTCAAAAGATATTGAACTGTGTTATATCATTTTGTAGGGTGCACTTGCAACATAGAAATTCTAGTATGAAATGTAGGTCACAGTTGTCAAATTGTTTCAGAAATGTATTGTACTGTAAAAGGAACTGCATTGATGAAGCATGAAACTTAAAAGCAAAAGACTATTACAGAGATTAATATCATTTAAATGCCATCAAAGGTAAAACAAACTTGGACATAAACACATAACCTATCAAAATGTCAATTTAAATACATTTGTACCAACAGACAGGGATAAATCTATATACACAACTGCATTCATAGTTAGCCATTAAAATAACATTTTAGATGCCTCTAACTATACTTACATCTAAACAGCATTCACTCAATGACAAATACTATGTTCATACAGAAGCTGAATACACAATGTGTCAGTACATACTTTAACAGAATTCACAATGTGTCAGAACATACTCTTACAGAATACACAATGTGTCAGTACATACTCTAACAGAATACACAATGTGTCAGTACATACTCTAACAGAATACACAATGTGTCAGTACATACTCTTAACAGAATACACAATGTGTCAGTACATACTCTAACAGAATTCACAATGTGTCAGTACATACTCTAACAGAATACACAATGTGTCAGTACATACTCTAACAGAATACATTATGTGTCAGTACATTCTCTAACAGAATACACAATGTGTCAGTACATTCTCTAACAAAATACACAATGTGTAAGCACTCTAACAATAGACCACTTTCGAGTTCATCCTTCACCGGAAAAAACTCGTCAATTATGCGCGCCTTTATGACGTCATTTACCAGATAGAGGGGATTGTTCATCCTTCACCGGAAAAAACTCGTCAATTATGCGCGCCTTTATGACGTCATTTACCAGATAGAGGGGATTGCCTGTATCCCTGCACTATTAACGTTCATCAAGTGTCTTAGTGATCGTCATTGTGCAGGATAAACTAGAAATAATGTTTGTTTTGTAAGTACTTAATCACAATTCCCTAATGACAGCAGTGCTGATTGTCAATTATGAGAATTTAATTTGCCGAATTCGTGCAATTTAGCATTATAGTTTTCCAACCACTCGCTCAACATTGGAACGGAAGTGACGATGCCCTTAAACGCACAAATAATGTTCACTAAAACCAGAGTTTTTGACGGAAATGCATCGAACTCGAAAGTTGTCTATTCTACAATATTTAACACTTAATAGTATACATTATTATTATTTTCCAATTAATTACTTTAGAGGGGGGTGGTATGAGGATTTATTTTATCATATTCACTGTGGCAAAAGGTGGAGGTAAATGTAAAGCCAGTAATTGATTTATTAGCATGACAAAGTTTCGTTACAACTGAAATTTGTTTGACAAACTAAGTTTATGAACATAAAACAATTACAGTCCAGTATTAAACATCAAATATTTTTTGGAATGTTATGAACTTATATGAGTTTTATTTGTATATGATATTCAAACATTTCAATGCATAGTAACACATATACTACTATAGTATCATTACTAAGTAATCAACATTTTTGTCAGTTACCAGCAGTATTGCACTAATAATAAACAAATAAATCAATATTCAACATAATAAAACTGAAGAAATACAAACGATATCAATTAAAATAAAAGCTTGAATGCCCTGTTGACAATGGCCTAGTGTAAACAGGGTATAATAGTACCCCAACTGAGTTTTGAGTATGTGTAGTTTGACAAGTAACAATATATAGTTATTCAACACTGTTTCACTTTATGCAGTGGGTATTGTGTTCACATAATTCTAATAATGATCCTTTTAAAAAATAGACCATCATTATTCATATTTTTGCAACTCAACAGTTCTCTCAATTGAATCTTGATTAGAAGCTGTTTTTAAAACATGTTTTTGTTGATATTAAATTTGCTTCTCAGTTGGCAATTAACATAACTTACAAGAATCACTATCACAAAGGTAAACTTCATCACCTTATGATGACATGTCAGGTACGTCATTCAAACCTACACTGTCTACCTGAAATGCAATTTTCATTTTAAATTGAATACACCAACTGGAAATAAAAATAATAAGGTTCAGACAATAGTAGTTGACATAATATATTGGCATCAGATAAGTTAAGGTAAATTCCTTCTCTTTTTTTGTATAAAGCAAGCAGGAGAAATTGTATGACAGTATTACTTGTTCGTTGTATCAACTACTTGTATCTCTATTTGGCCTGTCTCAGCTCTTCCCAACATTATCAACAGTCAGTAAATATCTAGTTTCTAGTTTGTATTTGTAAAACTTGGATGAAGATCCAACTAAAAGAACATTTCTGTCATCATAATAGAACCTGTAAATGGAAAGAAAATACAATGGTTACATTTTACCTACAGTTAATTATACACAATTAAAACTGGGATAGAGATTAATACAGATATATACTGGTTACTTTGCAATGCATGGGGAAATAGTTTGCTAAAGGAAATGAAAATATTCCTCGAGCCTGTAATTCAGTGGTTGTTGTTGGTTTCTGTCTGTAAGTGCCTGTCTGAAGTCAGGAGCCTGTAATTCAGTGGTTGTTGTTGGTTTCTGTCTGTAAGTGCCTGTCTGAAGTCAGGAGCCTGTAATTCAGTGGTTGTTGTTGGTTTCTGTCTGTAAGTGCCTGTCTGAAGTCAGGAGCCTATAATTCAGTGGTTGTTGTTGGTTTCTGTCTGTAAGTGCCTGTCTGAAGTCAGGAGCCTGTAATTTAGTGGTTGTTGTTGGTTTCTGTCTGTTATATCTGTTTTTAACCATTTTGTTGTTTTTTTCTTTTGAATTGTTTTGCATTGTGTTATGAGCCCTCGGTCATAAAACTTACCTCAGTACTCGGAGTACAAAATTTGTACTTGAAACATCAAATCCAGTATTTTCATTGGTTGATTTCTGAGTCTGAGTATAATTGTGCTCGAAACTTTTATGATCGCAAGGCATGCAAGGGCCTTTTATAGCTGACTATACAGTATGGGTTTGGCTCATTGTTGAAGGCCGTAGGGTGACCTATAATCCACATTATTAGGACTGTTGGATAGTTGTCTTATTGGCAATCATACCACATCTCCTTATTTCATACTCATCTGCTCATACAGATACAGCATCACATGAAAAATTTTGGAATTTCAGATTAAGATAACAGTGGACAAATAACTTGATAACATCAGATATAATTACCAATTTATCGGAATTTTAGTTTTAATATCCAACATGAAAGAATGAACTATTTGGTGGAATTGTTGTAATTTGAGTAAGTCCTTATATCTGACTTATAGATCATTGGTTGTAGTTTTCCTTTGATGTGAATGCCACACAGTAGAGTTGTGCTATCAAGGTTTAATGTCAACATGTGGTGTCTGTGGTGCCATGTATTTAATCAGCACGATATAATAGGAACATTTGTACAATTTGAAAAAAATTGAAGTTAAATGAAAATTCTTATGAAATTAACAAAGCTTTACAGACCTAAAGTTTTAAGAAAACATTAATTACACACTATTTTTCAAAAGCAGCAGTGTTTATAATACTCAACGCCTCCAACAAACTGACAGTGTTAATCTGATCTCACAACAAAAGTAAGCTTCTCACCACAGATGTTCACTGTCAAAAATCATTCAATCTTTTGATGATACAATTTATCCATTAAATCAAAAAGAAAATCCCACATGAAGACAAAATTATTTTTTCATACAAAAACATTGTTGATGGAAAAAGACATTGACTTTTCCGGTATTGACGCAGATCTCTCTTGGTATCGGTTTTCTAAACAATACCTCCCCATTGAAACTTCTGTTCATGATATATTCATCATTGAACTTAATGAAGAATATTTTCCACTCCTGGAGTGATAATGAACTCATTTAAAGGGCACCTGTTCAAATTAACCAATCAGAGTTAAGTCCATGTAAGAAGATGCTGTGTCTTGCAGTCTTGACTAAAATCTTAGTGGATTAACAATTGATTTAATTACAAATGGCATAGGTATTGAACACAAGGATTTATCACTGCTAATTGGATCAAATGAGGTGTTAATGAATATAGTCTTCCTGAAGAATGACATTTCACATACAATGTATTAACGACTTTTTATCATTATTTAGATCCAAGAGAGCATACAATGTCTTCCATTAGTGATGTTAATCCTCTAACGAAATCTGATAGAAATGCAAAAAGTTTTTTGTTTTTTTTTACATAAACAACTTCTTTTACTGAAAAAAAATCAAAAGTACATATACACAACAAAGATCTATTTTTCATTAGAATTCTTCTAGTGCTAATTTTGATAAAATATTAGTTTCTTGTGAAGTCAATAGTTTTCTCTGTTCTGCCACTTTCAGCTCAATTTGACTGACTGGCAGGTGCTTACTTAACTGCTTGGGTTTATCATTTCAGGCCAATTGAAGACTTTAAAAAATACATAAAACTGAATAAATAAGTATCCTAAAACTGTGTGGATAATTACATATGACAATTCATAACTAGCAGGCACATTATCTGCAACTTTAATTCTGAACTTTCTGCTATAATCATAACTGAGTATTGACAGTATTCTTCCCAAACTCAAAATTGTGGTACAGTACACTGCACCTAATCGAATATCTGCTAAAGGAATATATGGCCAAAATCGGATAGAAATATTCATGAAAATTCTGTTAAAACCATGCACAATCGGATATTTTCATTGTTTTTTTATTACAGGAAATGAATCTGGAAGTTACACAATTACAATCTTAGTTTTTTCTTAATATAAGGAACAATAATGGGATATTTTTCGCTGACATTTTGAGTATTGGATTTGCCGGAGTCTACTGTAATATATACCAAGCTCGGCATACTTAAAAGACCATTATTAAGATATCTCCAAATCTCAAAAGTAAATCTGCATTATCATGATTATAGATTTCATACATACATCTTGGTTGACTGTGTGGTCAATTATTATAAAAATTCTTTGATATTCAGAAAACACAGTTTGATATATGTATGCTGCTGATCAAATCAAAAGTTTCTACCCAATCCATACTCTATAAACATACAATGTCATATCTACATGAATGAAAACAACAAGATTCACACCTACATATTTACTGGGTAAATAAAATTATTTTTTGATATAATCATGGAAGCATTATATTGACAATATAATACTTCCATGGTTTTAGCAATATTGGACTGACATGAACCTATTGTGAAAACTAATTAAAGCCATTTTTGACCACCGACCTAAGACCTATTTTGTCAATAATATATTGTGTATATACTTTATATGAAAATGATCTCAACACATTATCATACCAGAGGACTTATCTAGAGGTCAGATAAACTGATCTCAACAGGACTTATCTAGAGGTCAAATAAACTGATTTCAACACATTATCATACCACCAGACTTGCCTAGAGGTCAGATAAACTGATCTCAACACATTACCATACCAGAGGACTTATATAGAGGTCAAATAAACTGATCTCAACACATTATCATACCAGAGGACTTATCTAGAGGTCAGATAAACTGATCTCAACACATTATCATACCAGAGGACTTATCTAGAGGTCAAATAAACTGATCTCAACACATTATCATACCAGAGGACTTATCTAGAGGTCAGATAAACTGATCTCAACAGGACTTATCTAGAGTTCAAATAAACTGATCTCAACACATTATCATACCAGAGGACTTATCTAGAGGTCAGATAAACTGATCTCAACACATTATCATACCAGAGAACTTATCTAGAGGTCAAATAAACTGATCTCAACACATTATCATACCAGAGGACTTATCTAGAGGTCAGATAAACTGATCTCAACAGGACTTATCTAGAGGTCAAATAAACTGATCTCAACACATTATCATACCAGAGGACTTACCTAGAGGTCAGATAAACTGATCTCAACACATTATCATACCAGAGGACTTATCTAGAGGTCAAATAAACTGATCTCAACACATTATCATACCAGAGGACTTATCTAGAGGTCAGATAAACTGATCTCAACACATTATCATACCAGAGGACTTATCTAGAGGTCAGATAAACTGATCTCAACACATTATCATACCAGAGGACTTATCTAGAGGTCAGATAAACTGATCTCAACACATTATCATACCAGAGGACTTATCTAGAGGTCAGATAAACTGATCTCAACAGGACTTATCTAGAGGTCAAATAAACTGATCTCAACACATTATCATACCAGAGGACTTATCTAGAGGTCAGATAAACTGATCTCAACACATTATCATACCAGAGAACTGATCTAGAGGTCAAATAAACTGATCTCAACACATTATCATACCAGAAGACTTATCTAGAGGTCAAATAAACTGATCTCAACACATTACCATACCAGAGGACTTATCTAGAGGTAAGATAAAGTGATCTCAACACATTATCATACCAGAGGACTTATCTAGAGGTCAGATAAACTGATCTCAACACATTATCATACCAGAGGACTTATCTAGAGGTCAAATAAACTGATCTCAACACATTATCATACCAGAGGACTTATCTAGAGGTCAAATAAACTGATCTAACTAGTTTATTTTTAAACTTTGAAGTACACTGTGATATTTATTCCATGTATAAAATACTTCAATGCAAAATCTGCCATTTAAAAAGTGATATTGAGGCCATCTTCCCCGTTTGATTACAAAGAGGCTGACATGTTGATATATGAAGCTTTATTGTGTATGATACTACTAAACTAAATAGCAATAATTTTGAAACTCTAGTGAATTATCATATGATCAGGAATAGATGGGAAAAGTAGGTTTATCATTGTAAGACGAAGCAAATCATTTTTTATTATTCCATTGCCTGTCATAAATGTATCCACAAGATAATTCAAGCAATACATTTTCTCATGACATAGTTATTAAGTTTTCTTGAAAATATATATTTTTATATATAATCTACCACATCTTCTTATATCTTTATAGCAGTAGTTTTTTTCAGCTGTAAAACAGAAGTTATCAAACTGTAGTCAGGTATAATTTATAGCATTATTTCTTCATATAAACCCCAGTTGAATGAAATGGTATTACGCTTCCATGATTTTTGTTTGTATTTATAAAGATAAGATGTTGTATGATTGCCAATGAGACAATTTTCCACCAGAGTTCAAATTACGTAAAAGTTGGCAACTAATGGTCATCGTACAGCCTTTGTACAGTATTTTTACATTTCTTTTTAAATATGTATTTTTCAAATGTCATAATGATATACATTAAACCTGAAACTTTTAAATGAAGAGAAAACCTGGAAAACTATCTTCTCCCAAGAATCAAAAGAAAGTTTCACAAAAACA